AGGAGCCTTACCATTTTTTAAACTTCCCAATTTTTTCTTAACCAGCTCAGAATTAATGCAGTCATCTTATTTGAACTTCTAACTGAAGTTACACCTACCAATCAGTAAGATTTAAGTGGGAAAAGTTGCTTAGTTTGGAGGTTATCCTGACCTCAAGCTGTATGTAACATGAATACTAAGGTTACATTTATCAATGAAAAGTTTTATTTTTGAAGGTTCTTCTGACCTTCATCTGTATATAACATAAACAGTAAATTTGATGGCAATCCATCTCCAAACATAGACAGTAACTTTATATTGATAGGTAAAGATTTTTTTACTTTAGGAGATTCTAGTTTTATGCAACATGGGTAATAAGGTTACATTTATAGTTGAAAAGTACTTAGTTTTGGATGTTCTTCTGACCTTTATGGGTGAAAAGTTCCTTAAATAGGAGATCTTCCTCACCTCCAGCTGAATGTAACATGTACATTAAGGTTATGGAAAGTTTCTTAGACATGCAGAGTAGTGTTTACCAGCTTGCCTTAGTTTGGGAAGATTCATCTAAACTTACTTGTTCTTCAGATATATTGGCTCCCACCATCATGTGCAGAACAGCAAGGAGTTCATCTCTAGAAATCTTGTTATCGTCATCTAAGTCATACATACGGAAAGCAACTGTAACACAAAAACAATACAAAATTTATTAAATATACATTTCATGATATGCAAGTAAAAAGTGCATATAAAAACAAACTTGATTTGATGCATCTAAAAATACACAGTTAAATACACGTAAAATAAAGTTCAATAAATTCTGTTCACTTTCTTCTATAGTCATTCATCTGCATCAACTGTATTAAATAATCAAAAATGTGTAATTTTACAATCTACAAAAGATGTCTATATTCTTTTCTGTCATGTCTTTACATGTTATTTAACTAAGATGTATATTTTTAATAGATATATTAGAATTTACACTTTCTTTTTATAAAGTGGACATGCTGCACACAATACAATAGTTTAATGATACTTCCTTTACATATTTTATATCTTTGGTACATATAGTTTACAGTTCTTCATATCTTTGCTAACACTATAAAATAAATTTATAGCTAAAAAATACAGAGGTTAAATACTTTATATTAAAATGATTTTGGAGCTTCATTACGTCTATAGTCTGTGTTGCCATATTCAGTCATGATCTATCTGATGACCATGTATCTTGATAATAATCCTGTAGCATAGTTTCTACTGCAAGAGGTTTTGCCGTAAGACTGTCATGTTCAAAACACCCTCTTCATCCCTGAAGCTTTCCATAATTCTTCAAGTGAGTGATTACAACAGCTTCATAGTACTTGTTTCAAATGTTTGATCACACAAAAATATATAGGTGCTGTGTCTGGTGGCTTTATTACTAAGTCCTTGTAAGGAACAGCATCAATACATATTTCATTTTCTAGCTGCTTGAGATATACAATAGTTGAATGGATATGTTGTGAAAGTAACTTCTGTATAGGTGACTTTTTATGCTTTTACAGATGCAAATTCTGTTGCATAATTTTGGCTAGGTTACACGTATGGCTTTATATACTAAATTTTGTGTTTGCAGATTTTCGCTTGTAACAAGATGCTGCTCTTTGCTTACCATAGCAAGGGTATGAATTGTAGCAGGTCATTTTCTGGATGGTCTTGTTGCCCCAAGTTCATCCATATTTCTTTGTTTTCCAATGCTATTAAGTACAAAAGTTTTCCCAGTCTTGGAATTCTAAACCTTCAATCTAAACACATCTTCATAATACGAGTATACTAATATTTTGTACTTGAAAGAGTTATTAATAACATCTTCTTAACAACACTCACTCTTCATACTATCTATGAAATATCAAACAATGACAAAATGTAGATCTGAAACTTATTGTTCCACTGCGACTTTATATAGGTTGTTATTATGTGGTTTGCTGATTATTGTAATATAACTTACTCAATCCTTTATATTTAGTAAGTTTGTGCTAAGTTTAATGTAAGTTGTTTAAGTGTTTCCTTTGTGAGAATAATTGGGAAAGGTTAATAAAAGCATAATTTCAATAACTTGTGTTAAATAAAAATAATTCCTGGAAAATTAACAAGCTGGTTTTCATGTCCTTCATATTTCTAAGTTTCAGCCACTCTCTATTCTATTCCTAGCTAACTAACCTTGATCTACTCCACTGCCTAGATTGTGAATGAAAGTAAAATGTGCAAAAATACCATACAAAGTTGTAACCCAATTTAATGACAAGATGTTAACCGCAAGTGAAGTATAATTGTTAAACAAGTAAATTATAATTGTAGATGAAGCCTTTATTCTCTACTCTAATCTTCTGTTTTAGAAACATATATTAAAACATGTTTGAAATATTACAATATTAGTAACCTAGATAATCATAGCCTGCCAAAAAAACTTATCATAACAAAACATATTTCAAGGTTCACCTGGTTATTGTATAATAACCTCAATAGGTAAGAAAGCATTCAAGCAAAATGTATACATCATGCATTAATAATCCATGTAGAAAAATACAATTAACTATTAAATCAACAGTTGGTGTTGCTAAAAACAAGAAGTTTCAAATTTATCATTTCAAGACATCACTGGTTGTAAGTACTTAATGAGTAATTACTTGTACTACTATATACTTCTGTAGCCTAAAATACTTTCATTCTAAATGAAGTTGATCAGCAACTTACATCTTAACTTTTCTTCACGACTGTTAAACTTGTTCTCCCTATTTTTCTTGAGTGGCCTAAATCGAGACAGCACATGCATAAACTGTCTGAAATTGATGCGATCATCATGTGCATCAGTAAAAAATGCATGTACTATTCGATCACCCAGAGGATTAATTGCTAGTTCTGGGATTCTGAGGAAATCTTCTCGACTGTAAAAGATGGTGAAATCAATCAACCAGGAAAAACTACATCATAGCTTTGTATTGTTTATAAAATATATTAAACAAATACATTAATTTTTGTAATAGATATGAAAATAAGTGATCCTAACGTAATAATTTACAAAGAACCACATTCTAACACTGGCAAAAACTAACATTTTGATATTTTCATTTCCTAATAATATAGAAACAACAAAGCAGATATGGTTGATATAAATCAAATGAAGAACTAAATGAGGCAATCTCAAAACATAACTATTGTTTAAAACTCTATTAAAAGTTCCTGTATTGATAATTACTGGTAAAACTGATAGCCTGCTGAGAAAAGTTAACAGTTTAATTACCTGAAAATGTATTTCCAATATATATTTACCTCTCTGCATGCAGTAGCTACTCCTCATGTCTGCCTCTGAGATTTTGTGCAGGCCACTAGCCTGAGCTATCTCCCACAGTTTATGACGTGAACTGTGCTTGTGCCTGATGTGATCATCATGTGACAATAGCCCTCTACCAATAGGAGGGTGATACTCTTCTATGCACAGTAGATTCCCCGTAAGCAATTGCACTCAAAATGAACTTTATTTTAAAAGGAGGCAAGAATAATGTGCATTGATAGTGGGGAGGAAACTGGGAAGGTAAGTATCTATTGAAAATGCATTTTCAGGTACACAATAACTAGAATCCCACATTGATGTGATTGTGAAATCCTAGATAAGCTCCCTTTGGAGAAAATGACTGAATGGGAAAGCCCAAGGGGTGTGACATCCTGTTGTGGGGACTTATTAGAGGGTGAAGAGATGTAAATTCAGTTGAGGGTGGGCAGAAGTGGGATGCTGACAATAATGTTGGCATGATCTAACCACCAAGACAGGTCCTTGAGAAGAGAAGGTGTTAGCATCAAAAAAGAGGACAGAGGGTTGTGAGAACTTTTCTATTGGTCAGTAAAAGTCCATTGAAGAAGTCTCATGCACACCCATCTGAGAGGGATGAGATGTTCCAGAGACACAAGAATCTCCAACAGAGATAGAACCTCGAGTAAAAGTATAGGAGAGGCAAGAGTTGAAGTGACTAGACACTACATGTCCCACAGACAAATTGAAAGACTCTAAGATGGACCAAGTATTGAGTCAGAGTCAGGAACAACTTAGAAAACTTGACAGCCAACCCAGATGAGCTGTCTTTTGTAAGAGAAATGATGTAGCCAAGAAGAGGTAAGGAGAAGCCAATCATCCAAGACTGTTGATGTGGTGAGCAAATACTCCCATAACTAAGATAAAGACATAAAGAACTGAAGCAATGCCAAATAATAGAGCTCAAAACTGGTACATCAAATCTAAGTGAAGAAAATGAAGGAAATAAAGTGATGATGGGGCAATCAGAATACAGAGAAAGGCATCCAAGACACTGACCTTTGTCACCCATAGTCCAGAGAAAAAGACCCAAGGAGAGGAAGGAACACCTCCAACCTCTAACTTGAACCAAGGAACCACAAGATGGTGGTTGATAGAAGAAAGGTCAAAAACAAGAATGAAACCCTATAGAGGGAAAAACAACCCTCTCAATGGCTCTCATGTCCAAGAGATCCATCACCATGGTTTGAAGATGCATAAAATGCTGAAAATCAAAAGGAGGTGGAAAAGGAACAGGAAACAAGGAAAATGTAGGAAAAGATGAGAAATGAAGAAAAGGACCACGGGTAATATCATTAATGGCCCATCAGTTGGCTACAAAAGGGGTCCAAAGGTCTTCAAACAGAAACAGATGTGTCCCTTTAAGGCCTGAGCTAACTGGCAACAATATGAGGGAGTCACCAATGGGATGTGTGATGACCAACCCAAAGGGGAGATAGACAACAATAAGCGGTTGATGGACAAAACAAAGGAAAAGATAAGGAGGTGGAAGGATTACAGGGTCAAGAAATGAAAGTGAACTCATGGAGATGCGAGAGATGAGAAACTAAAAAGGAAAACTGGTGTTTGGCAGCCTTGACTTGAGTCTTCAAGGCATTAGGAACACCCACAGAGACTTCAGGAAAAAAAAAAGGAGCCAGACAGGGGTCACAAAGGCAAAAATGGGGAAGAAAATTGTCTCATCCCAGAAGATCTGAACAACAGAGGAACCAAGTAAGCAGTGACAATGCAGAAAACAAATCCCTGGCAAAGGTACTGAAAATGATTAGCCATAGATCCTCAGAAAAAATATTGAGATCAAAGTGTAGAGCTTCAGATGGTATAGGTAATGAAGGAGAATACTAATAAAAAGATAAAGACAGGATAATTGATCACTAATGTGTGTGTTACTGAGTTAAGGAATCACCTTGAGAATTCATTGTTGTTGTAGCCAGATAAATTTTTTATAGTTAGTTATTTAGTGGCAATTTATATTTAAATCAAAGTTAAAATAAACTAAAAAGAAATGAAATAAACATAACACTGTGAAAGGCAATGCATATCTCCATATCCTTTGAAGACAGTTCTGAAGATAAAAATGAAGTTAATTTCAAGTGCAAGTGTTTATGGGGATGTACTGTGCATGGAAGATTATTGCACTCCTACTGGTGGAGGGCTATTGTTACATGATTATTACATCAAGCTATAGCATAGTTCACGTTTTAACATGTGTCTTACGTGGGAGACAGCTCAAGGCTAGTGGCATGTGCAAAATCTCAAGAGCAGACGTGTGAATAATAGCTACTGTGTGCAAAGAGGCAAGAATATTGTTTTGTAAATTATTATGAAACTACTGTAATTTTAATTAGTATAACACACATGCTTATAAGTGTACCAATACATGTACAGAAACTGTGACATAAAACTGTTCAATATAAGGAGCAGATAACTGCCTAAACAATGAAGCTTCAGAAACTATGCATGTCATGTTAAGGTTCTTAACCCATACAAATTTGAAGTTTAAAAATTCCTCGCTTGAAATGTATTTTTGAAATATTGATATCAAAGCAGAACATGCTCTGTGGTTTTCTTAAGAGATATGTAATTTGAGTAAAATTAGGTATGTGAGTAGTAATTCACAAAACTGATAAAACATTCGAAATCTGCACTATCATTATACAAAAATCAATATCAAACAAGGCATGCCTGCTCCTAATCATAAAAATATGAAACCCATATTTCCAACTCTATTATTAGCACTGGGATGACGACAAGTCACAGATTCCTAAGTAGCATCAGAAACTTATTTATAAAGGTCTTCTCTCAGATTTCCAAGTTCTTGGTCTTAGTTCTCTAAATTATATGTAAAAAATTATTTGTTTGTCATTCAAATGTGCTAAGTACAGGTTGTACAAATCCATATAACAGAACTTACTATTTTGCAACAAAATAATAGATTATTAATTGCACTGTGTATTTCAATATCAAAAGCAGGACATACATCACAATAACCAATGGCAGGATGTGCAACACCATACCCACTAGCAACACATGCATCACAATACCCAATGACAGGCAAAGAATGACAATACACCACAACAGGATGTGCACATAATACACTAGAGATGGGCAACTGTAGTACTTAGTAATCAATTAATCAACACGCTCATTAACCAGTTACATTCAATTAATCAATTAACTAAACTTGTCTAAGAATATTTTGCCACAACTTTTTTTTTAATGATAATCTGGACATTTCCTACTTCACAAATGAATCAGTCATGTTGACTATATAACATTACACAATCATTGTTTTTTAAATATGTAGTAATCCCACATGATCTTCTATAAATAAAATAAATTAATAATTAAATAATGAAAATATGTTTTACAATCACCAATAAGGGTAATAATGTTTTTATTTAAAACATACGATGATTGCAATTAGAAATATTTAAGTAGCCATTTAATCAATTTGTTTAAGTACATTGTTTGAATAAAGATATGAATTATTAGAATATTTTGTAGTCACCTCCCATACTCACTAAAAAGTAAACATATCTGATTTCATGATGATTTTATTATAAAAAATAACAGAATATAAGATACAGAAAAACATTCATGTTTACAAACATTGCAACTCAATAAAACCAAAGTATATCTAATAAAGTTCTTAAACCTACTACGTCTACTCTGCCTAAATTTCCACTGAAACAATATCTATCAAAAAGAACAATGTAATTCTAAATAAAGAACTAATCATCAAGAATATATACCTTTATTATGCCTTAAGCAACTTCCAGTCATGCGACTTCCTTGTTTCATACTGTGTATATATTTCTGTGTGAAGGTAAGCAATTTGTACCTGAAGAAGACAAAACCTCCACAAATATTGTACATTTGTTACTGTGTCAAACTTGTAATAACATTTTCTTTGCTACCCATTGAACCAATCTCTAAACTGTATATAATTACCATATCAAGATATCTGATGCCTTCTCATTGAAGAAAATTTTTGTAGCTTTCAAACACATAATTTACAATTCACAAATGAAAATAAACTGGAAAGGCACCACAACAAGGTTTCAACCAAGAATGTGCAAAAACTATGGAAAATGCTCAAAAATCAAGAAATGCATAATATATTTTCAAGAGGTGATAAGTTCTTGGCAAAAGTAGAAGGATTCCAATGAATAAACAATCGATTCCTACTACCTCGAAATGAACCTGGGACAATAGCCGAATTGGGGGAAAAGCATACAGATGCAAATTTGTCCAATCCTGATGAAATGTATCAACCTCTTAAACCTATATATTTACTCTACTATGACAAGATAGTCTAATTCTTGCTATATCCAATCATATTTAAACTTCTTTATAGTTGTTTTTATAACCGTGTTTCATTAGTAAATGATTATATCACTTGATGTGGCACCACAACAAGGTTTCAACCAAGAATGTGCAAAAACTATGGAAAATGCTCAAAAATCAAAAAAATGTATAATATATTTTCAAGGGGTGATACGTTCTTGGCAAAAATAGAAGGATTCCAATGAATAAACAATCAATTCCTACTACCTCAAAATGAGTTAGAATGAG